ACATCCACTTCTGGTGATATTTTTAAGTTTCCTGTGAAACTAGAGATGTGCAGCCTTATGTTTTTGGACTGCAGCTCCCATACGTCCGCTGGCATATTCTTGGAGAATTCTGGGAGTTGCACTCCAATTGGGGGAGGTGCTGACTGGAGAACTCACACAGTCTCACAACGATTTAGTCCTCAATTGGGTTTCAGTGCAAAATGAAAATGAAAATGAAAGAACACCCCAGTGCCCTTGCCTTTTGAAATCAGATTGCCACCAGGAACAGATGGATTTTGCAGATTCCACATGAGACTAACGTGCCATTCGTATAAATTTACAGTCCTTCTGCTCTCTGCAGAAAAAAGCTTAACTTGGACTAAATCGTTGTGTCCATTGTCTTAAGGCTCTCTGAACTCTTTGTAGGCCTATAGGAGAAAAAACATGGAACAAGCTAACTGTCTGTGTATCAGGATCTTCTGTTTTGCATTATTCCTGTCCAGTTATTGCTCTGTTTGAATAACCCCAAATTTTATTTAGTCTTTTCCTGAAGAAGAGTTCTGGGGAATCAAAAAATTATTTGTAACTTTTTAGCAAACCAGATAATCAATGATCTGAATGTAATGTGACATTACTTTGGTCTGATTCCTGGTGATCTATATAATAATATAATTTATTGTCATTGTAAGTATATACACAGTATACCCATACAACGAAATTCATATGAGGCTTGTTATGAGTGACAATGTATGTGTGTGTGTGTGTGTGTGGGGGGTTCCAGAAAGACCAGCACTCCATATCTGAGAAGAAGATGGATAAATCATAAGGGAAAATAGGATAGTGAGCCTGATACAAATCTGGAAAGAACTGCAAGTGTTCAAGTTTCTATATCAGTAAGAAATTGCAGACGTGGAAAGAATATTCTAAATGTGGACTTGTTTGTCCAGACAAGAAAGAGGAAGCAGGCTAGCTGAAGCCAAGACTGTGGCAGATGGAACAAACTGTACACATGAAAGGAAACATTTCTGCATGGAAACAGATTGTATCTGCCCAGGAAACCAGAGTCTGACCGCTGCTTGCCCAAAAGGGAGTTCTATGCCTATAAGAAGGATGACCCAGGAAGGGACAGGTGGGCTTCGACAGTGCTGCAACAATTGCTCCCATCACCTTTTCTGAGGACTGATCACCCACCAGAGAAGAGCCTTTTGGATGAGTGAGTATCTTGTGTGAATGGGAAGTATGAATGAGAGGCCTCTTGGTACCTTTTGTCTTCTATCCTATGTCTTACGTCTCATCAATAAATGTTAACCTAAAATTATTGGTATATGGTCTTCTTGTCAGTATTCTGGCTGGGTCCTCTCTCTCCTCTCATGGTCCCTCTCTCCAGGAAATAAAGAACAGGAACCCATTTGGATAACAGGTTCAGCCACCAAGAAGGGATGTGTCTTTTAGAGACAACCATTGGTAATATCTGTATCAGCTCTGAAAGCAAGTCAGTACCATCCCTGTCTTATTTCATTATGGAAACAAAATTATTTCCAGAACCAAATTGTGGCAACATTATTACAGCACACATGTATACCTAAAGGTTTGAAAGGGGGAAATTATGGAAAGAGAGACTAATTGCTTAAAGAAAAATTACTTGAAGCAATAATTACTACATCTGGAATTATGAAGAGTGTGGTGTACAACTTACTTTATTAGTGCTAATGATAGCTTATTGGTAGGAGGTAGGGGAGTGTGAATACAAGCTATGATGGGGATGTATAATCTCCAGGCTTAGAAGGAAGGTACCTCCAAATGTCAGATGTCTTGGCGTGGGTCCAACTCCAAAGGCAGATGTGGTGTTTGCCTCTCCAGAAGCTTGGAGTTAGATTTGGATAATGAAACTTCCAAGAGCACTGTTAGGGAAAAACAAACCTTGGAGCCCAGGATAACAAGTTACACAGAGTTTCTTATCTGGTAGCTTCAAATACTCCCCTTTATAAGCAGAGCAAAGAAACGGATGTATAAGGAAAAACACTGAGAGAGTTCTGATAAGACTTATAGCATAATATATTTTGTTGTTTAGTTGTTAAGTTGTGTCCGACTCTTCATGACCCCATGGCCCAGAGCACGCCAGACCCTCCTGTCTTCCACTGCCTTCCAGAGTTAGGTCAAATTCATGTTGGCAGCTTCAGTGACACTGTCCAACCATCTCATCCTTTGTCATCCCCTTCTCCTCTTGCCCTCACACTTTCCCAACATCAGGGGCTTTTTCAGGGAGTTTTCTCTTCTAATGAGATGGCCAGAGTATTGGAGCCTTAGCTTCAGGATCTGTCCTTCCAGTGAGCACTCAGGGCTGATTTCCTTTACAATGGATAGGTTTGTTCTC